CCCTGTCTCAAAAAAATTAGGTGGGGGCTAGAGAGAGGGTTCAGCAGTTAAAAGCACTGGTTGCTCTTCCAGAGGACCTGGATTTGATTCCTAGCACTCACATGGTAACTTACAACTGTCCATAACTCTAGTTCCAAGGGATCCAATATGGCCTCTTTGAGAACTGTAGCACACAATTATATAGACATACATACAGGTAAACACACACATTTAAAAAGATCTTTAAAAAAAAGTCACTGAGAAAAGATACTCAACAGGCCTCCATGTGCATGCACATACAACAAACATATGTACAAACAAATATACATACCACATACATACAGTGAAATTTTTATAGGTAGTATACAGAAGTAATTAACTAATTATTGGGATATTTGGATGTGTAATGTGGCTCCAATCTGGAGTATATTTCATATACTCATGCTTAGAGGACTTGCCCACACACCCAACTCCATGGACCCAGGCATGTTGTTATGCTTTTGTTTGTTTTGTGTGTACTACTGCTTCTTTTTCTTTCCTCTTCTTCCTTCTTCTTCCTCCTTCTTTTTTTGGTTCTTCAAGACAGGGTTTCTCTGTGTAGCCCTGGCTGTCCTAGAACTCACTCTGTAGATCCTGGAGACTCCAAACTCAGAGATCTATCTGCCTGCCTCTGCCTCCTGAGTGCTGGGACTAAAAAGGTGTGCACTGCCGCCACCTGGCTGTATGTGCTTCTTTTACTCCTCCTGGAAAACACTAGGAACACTCAGCACTGCTTGGCTAGCTGTATGGCCCTATCTTCTTTCTCCTCTGGTGGTTTCTGAGTCAACAATATTTATCTATCTTTGATTTGATACTGTCCACAGTCAACAACATTACAGACATTTCAACATTTCTATAGAACGTAAAAACCAATGAAGCATGCTATACTTTGTGAACCTGCTGTCATATATTTTACTTCTGTTTATACAACAATACATAGTATGTTGTGATTATTTTTACTTGAGTACTTGGTTATATTCATAAAAATTAAAAATGAGAAGATATGCTTTTTACATAAACCTATGCATTTACTGTTTCTGGCTGTCTTCACGCCTTTGTCATAGATGCTCCATTATGTTACTACCCACTCTCTGCTCCACCCCAAGAGCTTCTTTTGACATAGCTCAGATCTGTTGACAAGTATTTCTTTTACTTTTTTCTTAATCTGTAAAAAAATGTTTTAAAAAGTTTGCTTTTATCTTTGAGAACACATTTTTGGTAGATAAAGAGTGTTTAGATTGAAAACATGTCTTTCATAACTTAAAAAAATATCCCACTATGTTCTGGCTGACACAGTTCCTGACAAGAAGCCTGCTGGAATGACTTCTTTTTCTTATAAACTTTCCCCCTCTCTTGTAGATAACTTAAAGTTGTCTCTTATCACTGGATCTGAGAGGTCATCATGATGTACCACTGTGTGGGTACTGTTCAGTCCAGTGTTTGTACCAGGCTTAGTGTCTTAGTGACACTTTTGTCGCTGTTATAAACGGGCGTACGTTCTGGAGAACTACAAGTCATTTGTGGAGGAGTAGAGGAAAGGTGGCAGCAGCTGGAGCAGCAGCTGAGAGTCCACATCTTGATCCACAAGCAGGAGGCACAGAGAGTTTTAAAACCTGTCCCAAAGGACATACTTCCTCCAGCAAGGCCACACCTAATCCTCTCAACGAGCCATCCACTAGGGACTAAGGATTCAAACGCCGAGATTTACGAGGGATGTTTCATACAAACCCCCACACTCACTGAACTTCTCAGAGCTCTTAGATTTTCACTTCCATCAAAACTTCTGAAAACTGACTATAAAGTATTTCTGTCTTCCCCACTTTCAAGGACTCCAATTGCACATATGTTAGCTCTCTTGAGACTGAGATATGGGGCGGTCACTAAGGTTTTGTTTATGTCTCACCTTTGCTCCCGTCTACTTTACATGAATTTTTATGGTTATGCCTTCAAGCTTATTTACCTTTTATGTTTATACTAATTTTCTTCTTGTTACAAGGGCATTTCTGATTCTCAATGTATCTTGTACTTTTAAAACAGTTTGTTTGCTAGTGCATGATTGTACAGCCAGAACTCAAGATCTGCCTGGCTGTGTAGCAAGATACTGTATTAGAAAATATAAGTAACCCAGTCAGGTGCCTGTGGCTAATGAAGTCATGAATGGTAGAGAACCTATAACTGTCACTTTCCTAACACAGTATACTCTCTAACCTCACTATAAATATTTATACTTATACCAACAGACAAGTGTAGTTCTCACCCCTCATCAAAGAGTCTTTGTAAAACACAGAGACCTTATAGAAAACTATAACCAATCAAACTGTGGAGTTATGGAGCCCAGTTCCAAATGATACATCTACAACACAACTCCCGAGACTCAGGGTTCATCACAGAAGACAGCGTATGAAGATTGTAGAGCCAGAGGACCAGAGAGTTTGCTGTGAGACTATGTCTCCTAGAAATATCAGAGAAGCTACACCCACGAAGCCTCACCAACATGGCTGCCTAAACATGAGTTGAATAAAAATGACACCAATAAGATATGCTTAATTGGAAGGGAGAAACCTCATAAGGTCTTAAATCTAGACAAAGAATTACAGGCAACTAAGGAATGCTAAGAGAGAGAATAGTCTTCCTCTAGCTAGAACACACCGACTCTCAATACCAAATGGCCAGTCCTGAAAAAATCCATACAAGAAACAGTATACAGAACAAGCAGGATGTGTTATAAATTTAGTGTACACAACACACACTCCAATGGAAGAAAAACAAATTTGAATTAAAACAGGGCAGATATATAAAAGGGGATGGAGGGAGAAAAGGAGAGGGGAGGAATGATATATATATATTTTATAATCTCAAAAAAATTATTAAAAAACTAAAAGTAGATGAATGACTAAATAGACAAGTAAGTTATGCTGACACTGGTGTTATGTTGTTGAAGGCTGGATCTTGTTGTTCTTTCTTAAGTAGGGTAAAAGTCCATTTTGATATGAGATTAAAATTTTCCCCTATTTTCAGGAAGCTAAATTTCTGGGAAGTCAGGTCGATCCTTTGAAGGCTTTAGAAACAGGCTTGTTTAAAACTGTCTAATGAAATTTATGCACACACATAAGCAAAGACTCACATTACTTTTAAAACTGTGTTCAGTGTGATGAATCCTTTCTCTATGACTGTCACCCGCACCCCGCTCCTCTCCTTTCCATGTGACTGTCACCTGCTGCCTGCTTGCTTTTCTCGCTTTGTTGGGAAGAGAAGAAAAACATATTTTGAAGAGCTGAGTTAAACAGGACTAAGTCTTGGCCTCCCGAGGGTACAAGTGATTGTCCCCAGAGAGTGCCACAATGACTTGCTCTTGATGCTCAGAGCCTGAAGACGGCCAGGCCCACTTGAGCTCTCATCTTGCATATCTCACTGGGCATCATCCCCTTCACACAAGGGCAGATTGATGTATAACAGGTCTGTTATATATTTCTGTAGTTCTTTTGCTCAAAAGGTACCCCTTGCATGATAGTCTTGCCCATCACTATTTTCCCCTTAAACTGTGCTTACCAGATCTCCCTCTTATAATTAAAAAATATTTTAAAAAAATCATTAATCCTCTCCCTTAACCATATGGTCTTATGTAGTCTAGGCTAGCTTCAAACCCGCTATGCAGTTGAGGATGTCTTGAGCTTCTGATCCTCCCTGCTCCCCTGGGATTACAGGCATATTTCACCACTTCTATGTTTATGTGGTGCTGGGTATTGAACCCAGGGCTCTGCTTATAGTCAGCAAGCTCTTTACCAACTGAGCTACATTCTCAGCCCCTATCCTCAGGACTGGAAATAAGGGCCTGGAGTAGGTTATGTCTAGGAAGATGTGGACTGGGAAAACGCTTAAAAAGAGGTTTCTTTCAGGAGCTCTGGTAAAAGATACTGTCAGGTCAACTGTGGACACAATGATACACTGAGAATATGATGGAGGAGGGTCATCTGTCTATTGGTTAATAAAGAAACTGCCTTGGCCCTTTAATAGGACAGAAAATTAGGTAGGAGGAGTAGACAGAACAGAATGCTGGGAAAAAGAAGCCGGGTCAGGCAGTTGCCATGATTCTCCTCTCTGAGATGGATACAGGTTAAAATCTTCCTGGTAAGCTACCACCTTGTGGTGCTACAGAGATTATTAGAAATGGGTTAATTACGATGTGAGAATTAGCCAGTAAGAGGCTAGAGCTAATGGGCCAAGCAGTGTTTAAAAGAATACAGTTTCCGTGTAATTATTTTGAGTAAAGCTAGCCGGTGGCCGGGAGCTGAATGGTGGGAAGTGGCCCGCAGCCCACCACAACAAGAATAGCCTGTGCCAAATGCAGAAACATTGAGCAGGACAGGGTTTTCACATGTGAGGCTCTAAAGCTCAGGTAACATTACAGAATCCTATCTATGACTTCCTCTGCATTAAGTACCTCTGTGGCCACCACACCCAACTCTGCAATCCTGAATGAGCTGAAGGCCCAAAGCTGGAAACTGCCACTGTGGCCAGCATACAGAGGAGCCTCACTTGTCTATGCTGAGAATATTAAGACCTAGATGATATAAATGTCCCCCTACTTACATGAAACTTATTATTTTAATGTGTGTACCATTTGTGGAACATTGGCAACATGTAAGCATGTAGTCAAGGATCAGATGGCTGTTTCAACATCTGCCATAAGAGCCCTAAGCACCTTCCTTGCAATTCTTTTTCAAAGTCAGAAACTGAGGTCAGAGAGAGAAAATAATTTACCCAAGTTACTTTTCTTCCTTAACAGCCACTTACTTCATTTCACTCAGAAGGCATCTTGCAATTTGCCAACTTCAGGAAATCTATGTTGTAAGGACTTTTTTGGTAGCATCTTTGAACAGTGTCTACCACCATTACCCTGCAGCATACTAGGCCCTGTACCACACTGTCTCCCCACTTCACAGCGAAGCACTCAGGAGACTGAACTCACACACATTACCCACCACATCATTTGGGAGGCTCTGGAGGTCATCAAAAGGGGTTTCCAGGGTGTTAGTGTCCACGTTCAAGATCACGACATCTTCTAGGGCCATGTTTCTGACCTTCTGCAAGTAAAGAAAATCCAGAGTCACTGGAACTATCATCAGTGGACAAGTTACTTACCCTCGGCCTTCTTTAGGGAAGAATAGCACCCTTGGATAAAGGTTTACTCTGCTACAGTCCCAGAGATACATGGCTCACCTCTGCTGCTCATTTAACTGTCACAGAAATTATCCAACTCACATGATTACTCTCCAAATCACATTGAGAGGATTTCACAGAAGCTATGCAACATACCAAAGAGCTAGGAAAATGAAACTTTATCATTGTTTATATCTATATATCTACATATATATGATGTTGAAGACAGTGTCTGACATTCTCACCCTAGCTTCTAGGACAGATCATGATACCTAAATAAACATTTCAAGAATCTCTGAGGCAGGAGGATGGCCTATGCTGGTCAGAGCCTCTTAACAGTTAATAAGAACATGCCAGGAAACAGATTCCTCGAATCTTTCCATGTAAGAGTCTCTAACTTCAAATACTGACGTTTTCCAGGGGGCAGGGGACAATCCCCAAACTTATGAATCATCTTGTAAGATCTACTAAATGCTTTCCATTGGTGGAGTACTAGAGAGTTCCAACAAGACTCTTGACTAATGCATTTCCTTTCTCTTCTAAAACCCATCATTCCATTAACTACAGCTTTATTTGCAGGCTGGGTACAATTGAGAAGGTGTTGACACTAACATAACTGCTGAGCACCAGGCAGAACTGTACAAGCCCTATTTGCAGAGGAGCACACAGACTCAGAGTGGCCTTCAAAATTCAGCAGCCTTGCTGTACCCTACAGTTTAAATACTTGGATGTACCACAAGGAACTTACATGAAGGCCAATCACAATCATCTCTTCCACTAAGGCCACATATATTTCAGAGCTCATAATAATCTGCCCCACTGGTGTTTTCTTTTCCACCAGGAACTAGAAAGTGTGATGCCACCACCAATTTCAGAGATAAGAAATGGAGGCTCCATGAAGTGATGAAGCTTGTTCAAGGTGACATATCTAACTGAAGGACTTCATCTGTGAATCCCAAATAGATGTGCTCTTCACTTCCTACCAGTTCCTCTGGTCCAGTGGTTCTCAACCTTTCTAATGCTTTAGCCCTTTAAGACAGTTTCTCATGTTGTGATGACCCCAATCATAAAATTATTTTCATTCCTACTTCACAACTGTAATTTTGCTACTGTTGTGAAACATAATGCAAATATTTTTTGGAGATAGAAATTTATCAAAGGGGTCATGGCCCACAGGTTGAGAACCAGTACTCTAGGCTATTATGAAGTTCAGAGTTATATATGCCCAGGGCTAAGCATTCAGGACTTAATACATGGTGGTTATTACTGTTACTTTTTAAATTTTCTGTTTTTCTTTTCTTTTCTTTTTTTTTTTTTTTTTGAGGCAAAATTTCTCTGTGTACTTCTGGCTGTCCTGGAACTCACTCTGTAGATCAGGATGGTCTCAAATTATGACTTTTAAATATGAGCTGGCAAAAAAAGCTGCAGTGGCAGTGGCCTCTTGGAGGCAACAGCTTAGCTTTCATTTCAAAGGCTGATGATTGCTATTGGATGCAGAATTAGAATGGTGATGAGAAATGCCAGGATACTGGTACTGAACCGAGGACCACTGCACCCCAGCCTCTTCCGCCTTGCTTCATCTGACCCTCCCAATAGCTCCAAACAGAAGGGGCAGGAGGCAACAGCCACTGGAGAGTAGTCTTGGGGCTGACACGTCCTGTAAGTGGGTGTTGAGTGTGGACCAGAATTGGGGCTTGTTTCTGTGTTCTCAGAGCTGCCCCAGCAGCACAGACAGCCCTTGTGGGCTCTCTGAGGCTGGCTGGAACAAGCTTTTGATTTCCTTCCAATCCTGGCTGGAGGACTTGCCAGTTAAGCTGTGTGGAGTGTTTACTTTTTCAACAATGGCAGCAGGCTGAAGAAGAGGAAAAACCCTGGCCTTCTTTCCTGAGTTAGCAGGCCAGGGTCCCCTTAGTAAATGAATTGTCCCCAGTACTGGGCTCTAGGCAGGAGCTGGTTCGGCAGTTTCCTCTCATGGACAATGCCGCCCTGCCGGTGGCAAGGCCTCTTCTAAAGGAGCTGGCATGTCAAGGGGCTTCTTAAAGCTCAGAGCTCCCAAGGAAAGAATCACAGGCAGCTTGGTTGGAGGGTACTCTCTCCCCAAAGGTTTGGGGCTGTCGTGTGGGAATGCTGGAGAAGGATGGCTACTGAGTGCTAGCTTGTTTCTCTTCAGCATCATCTTCAAGGCAAAGAGAGAGGCTTAGAGACTAAGCAAATTTCTCAGTCACACAGCTTAGGGAGTCAGCAAACCTGGCTGTGGAAAATAGTCTGACTCTAACACTCACGTGAGGAGACTCCCAGACCCATGTGCTCAGGATTCACACTGAGCCACCAAGCAGGTGGGTAAGATGGAAAGCCTCAAAGCTCAAAGAAGCTTACTGTTTGGGGTCATCATTCTAAACTGTTTCCTTCTGTGCTCTCTCCTACCTACCATGGCTCTAAATCCTTCACAGTGCTCCTGCCTCCCTTGATTTTTCTCATTGATTACAGCATAAGCAATGTTCCACTTTATTACAAGATAAGTAACAGTTACTAATTGTTCCAGAGTGTTCTGCTACATGGAGGCAAACTCAACCAAGGCCAGTTTGCTGAAAGTTGCTTCAAGCACTTAAAACATTAATATATATGACATGGCCACGAAGTCTGAAGGCTGGAAGCTCTGTGCTTCAGGAAAGATTCCCAGAAGTGGATTTTAGTTTCCACTCCTTAAGAAGTGTCTCTGGTGAATTCATCTTAGAGATATATCTTTTCTTCCAATTATTTTACAGCCATTTTATCCACAGCTTGTGTTTCCTACTCTAAGTGAAGAAAAATCAGCAAAGACACGAGCAGATGTCAAAATAGTCCTCCAAAAATCCTACCCAATTAGAACACTTACAAGTACCGCAGCACACCGAGACAGCTCTCCGGTAGCTTGTCCCACCAACACATTCCCTCTCTTTTTAGTTACAGCATATGCCAAGGCTCCTGCCAGCTGCAAACCCCTCCCCCACCAGACTCCATAGGCTTCTCCTCAGAATGGGAAGGGGGGAAAAAGCACAAAACAACACTGACATATACACCAGCTTTCCAAATGGCATTTCTTACACAGAAACACAAAAACGGCAGCACCCCATCAATAGTGCTCATTAAAATATTAAAATGTTTTTCCTGTGTGCTTTGTTAGTCTTAGTTTGACTTGTCTTTGGACCAGAAAAGGGACAGCGTAAAGCACATGAGAAGCTCAGAAGCAACTGAGAGGGCACTACTTTCCTAAGAGTCACCTCTAGCTCATCCATACCATGTGGTAGCCTTAAGCACTGCACTGGACATCACAAATCCTCCAGGTTTCCAGTTGAGAAAAAAAGAAGTGGACAATGCCAGCCTTATCTTCACTGTGCTGGCTAGTTATATGTCAAATAGACATAGCTAGAGCCACTGGAAAGGAGTGACTTTCAATATAGAAAATGCCTCCATAGGATCAGGTTGCTTGCAAGCCTGTAGGGCATTTTCTTATTTAGTGAGTGGTGTGCATGGGCCCAGTCTATTTATGGGTGGGGACACCTCTGGGCAGGTAGTCCTATGTTCTGTAAGAAAGCAGACTGAGAAAGCCTTGGGGAACAGTAAGCAGCACCCCTTTGTGGCCTCTCCATCAGCTGCTACCTACAGGCTCCTGCCCAGTTTGTGTTCTGTCCTAAATCCTTTGAGGGTGAACTGTGATGTGCAAGTTTGAGTCAAATAAACCCTTCCTTCCCCAACTTTGCTTTTTGGTCATGGTGTTTAATTGCAGCAATAAAAACCCTAACTGGCATTCACTGTGGTATTTAGAGATGCTATTATGTGGTAGAGTTTCTGCATGATTTCCAGAACTTGGTAGCTCTGAGAGCCTGCTGCATAATATGGTTTCTAGGACCTGGGCTTCCCACAATCAGAACAACAAATTGATCTAGGTTTACTTATGCTGTAGTATCTTACTTACTGATCCTTTGCCCTGTCTCTGGGTTTCCTACTTTAGTTCCTACCCCAATATTTGGCCCACAGCTGACAAGTCTTGAATGAATTAATAAACGAATGAAGGTATGGGATGGAGAGAGAGATGACGAGAACCCAGAGCTGAGGGGCAGAGATCTGCCATCTAGTCTACATTCTACCTAATCACACTGGCCATACCAACATGGGCAAGTCAATCTTCCTGTGTCTGTTTCCTTTCTTCTGGGTTCATAGAACAGACACTATATTAAGCTTGCTATGAGTATTAAATGGACTAACATTTTAAAAGTATTTAAGTAGTGTCTGGCTCACAGGAAGTACAAGGTATTTGTTAAGTAAAAACTGAAGCTCTTTTGGGATGATAAAAATGTGCCAAATCATTATGGTAGTGGCTTCAAAACTCGAAATTCATTGAACCATACACTTTAAGTGGATGGTTTGTTGTGCAGTTAAGAAGCCCATCAGAACGTTATCCAGAACATAGAATAAACTCACAGTAGACCTGGAAAGGCAGGGGTGAATGCATGACTGTGAATGAGTGTTCAGGATGAAGGGGCTCTTCCCAGTGCCTTTGATACCCAGTGCCCTTATGCCAACAGGAGAGTTTTAAAAAATGTTTGTGTCAAAGTGTCCTCTTAGGGTATACCTAAATACCTAATATCCTGGAAAGGGACTGGACAGTTATTGAAAAGGCAGGACTCACAAGTAAGGCCAAAAAAGGAAGATGAAATTATGGCTCCACACAGAATAGGAAGATGTAAATGCCAGGAACTAGCAGTGCTGGCCAAGTGGGAAGACAACTGACTGCAAGTTGAGGTGCAGGGCCCAGCTTCATCCACCTCAGTCTCCTCTGACAGATGCAGGGAAAGAACAGCATTCCTACATCAGGATGGAGGCATCAGGGATCACTGTGATGAATCTTTTGTTATCCTTATACCAGGACCACCTCTGGGGCCAG